AGGGGGGGGGGTGCTATGAAAGAGGGGCAGGGCAGGTGGTGAAGCTTGATATGTGTATCCATAGCAACAGCAGAGTGGTGTGACACCACATGGGATTTAGTTTTGTTTTGGGGTGTGGTCTCAACACAGTCCTTGTCCTCATCAGGCCACAATTAGAAAGTTGTTTTTTGTCCATTTCATTGCATTTGAATCCACATTTTTATTATTCAAAAAGACATTTCTCGTCCTGTCCCGATTTGCTGTTCTGCTGTTTGTTTTTTGTGCGAGGTAATTTTGACTGAATTTCAATTGAACAAATCTTGGAGGCCAATTCATTTTAAGCGCCACACAAGTTAGATGTATAGACATGTCCATTTGAATCCCTCTAAGCCCTTCACAATTCATGTTACATGCATGGTTGCTACATCCAGTTTGCTCACATTTATGACCTATGGTCATGCATTTCACCGCAGCCACATGTAGCTTATAATGTAAGCCATAAGTGTTATGTTGGAATGAGACAGACCACCAAAGCCCTCCCAAATCGCAATTATTCATTTTCTTGGCTGTGCTTTATAGGGTATGGCAGCGATATTTAGAAATAGGGATTTTCTGTATGCAGCACTAAATGTTCTGAACTCGGCCACCTCTCTATGTAAGCCACATCGCTGGGCTTTTGGGAGTTTGAATAGTTCCAGGGGTGGGATTTTTTTCCCCGTCATTTCTGTCGGACATCTGTTTCCCTGCTTTCCTTTGATTATTTAGCATCTTTTTTTTGTATCAATCATTTCTCTGAAGGTTGAATGTCACAGAGTTTCAAATATGTTAATGATCAGACGGTGCCCCTCAGTGGGTATACAGAAATCAAAATGTAGGCTATATCATCAGTGTAGTCAAATGTCAGAAGGTGGCTTTCTTAAGGAGCAGAGCGGCTCTCCTGTTAATGGTCTCCTTCATAATCCAGGCATAAACAAGAGGATTACCCTGACTGACATGTCTCTTCATACAGAAATAATAGTATCCAACTGCTTAATATGGGATTTTCAGATTTGCAGTTTATGCCCTTCAAGAATTAGTTTAAATACACACCACATTTAGTCCTGTTTGGCCACAGAAATCCTCAGATAGGAGCTTTAACCCATCTTCAAACATGACATTGGAGTCTGGAGGCTTAAATATAATCTGCTAAACAGAAACAGATTGGTGGCAGGGGTTGAGCAGTAGTGCCTTATATGAGCATTTGCATCTTTGCCAAGTCGCGGTTTGCATCTGGGTGGTTGGCAGTGTGGCCCGCAGCGCTAGTTGGTGCCCTTGACTGAGCAGCGGCCCTGGTTAGACTGGCACCTGCGGTGAGGACGCCCCGTCTCATCTTGACCACAACATCGCCGCCGCCACCATGCTAATACCGCCTCACTGTAGCTGGAGCCACCACAGACCCCCTTCACTCTCTGTCTGGACCTTTTGCCTTTCTGCACCCGTCTAATCCTCTGCATGTCTCACTCTCTCCTCCTTTTACTTTTCGATTCATCCACTTTCTTGACGCCAAGGCCAATTATAGAGCTTTTGATGGCAGGATGGAGTGTTTGTGTATCTCATGGGTTTGCGGTGTGCTGCTCTCTTGGTACGCACCGTGTCGAGCCACAGCAATGCATAACAACTGCCTACCTTATAATAAATCGAGACTGAAGTTGGATCTGCTTCAGATTTAGTTTATTGTCTCTTGCTATTAGTGTGCTTTAAGGGATCTTTTATTAACCTCCTATGTCCATTTTCCCTTCTTTTCCTCCATTTCTTTATTTTCCTTAGTGAAGTTTTAGAATTGTATTCCAGTTTATCGCACTTAAGTTTTATTCACTTAGAAAATGTAACAAGGAATGACAACAGAAGTGGAAACCATATATACGTAGTCGGCAATACACCAGCTGTCTGGAGGAAACCCAAACAAGTGACATATAAAAAATAAATATAGCTTTGATTTAGAACTCATCCTGTCAACACTTGCCCAAAGCTCTAGGGCTGTGTGACCAGGGCTGTATGTATATTTGACAGGCCGACACCACTCCACAGTGACCTGTAGGTGAGCTCTCCAATACCTCCCCAGAGTGTTTCCCTCTGTTCTTCTGTTCTATTAGTTCCTCTTTAACACCTCTACAGGGCCTGACCTTGTTTGGGGGCTATGCTAAAGGGTCACAGGTCAGGGTTCAGCCTAAGTACACATTAGCATAGAATGCTACTGGTTAGAAAATGGAGAAAGAACCAGTTGGTTTGGTCTCGTTGGATCATCAAGCGCACTTGTTTTTAAGCAATGACTTCATGTCAGGGTTTTTTACGGATATTGTGGCAGGACGTTGTCGTATGCATGTATTATCACAGCCTCAGTTGAAATTTTCTGACATTGTGTTTTGGATTAATGGCACGTGATTTTAACGCGGTTGGTTACATTACATTGACAAAGCAAGGAAATAAGACTGGGAAATATTTATAAGCCCAGGTTTTCACTGTACAAAAGGGCTTGGGAACAAGTGTCCCAACTGGAGTGCGAGGCGGCCAAGCCTGACTCTCCCTTAGGGACTCTCTTGTAACCCTGGCCCGACCCTGTCACCTGATCCTGGACCTGGCCTTAGGTTCTCCCCACTCAGGGTCACGACCCCTTGGTCAAACACCATAGTGTGCCTGTCACTGGGTCGATGGCAGCCCCGTCCCTTTTCTCATTCTGCCATTGTGCCAGATGACGTTAATCCCTCATCAGTTGGACATGGAGGGAACCACTTCAACAGCGGACCCAGGGTCAGGTTGCTCCCCATTTGCTCTCTGCGGCTCAATCGTTTGACGGCCGAAGAGCACCTGATGTGGTGTTGGCAGTAACGTTACCAAGACCAACTGCCAGGCCTGTTTGCTCTTCTTTTGTGCCATTGTGTGAAATGGAGTGTAAATCACTTCTTCTAACAATTTCTCTTTCTTTCTTGTTCTCTCTCTCTCTCTCTCTCTCTCTCTCTTGTTCATTCTCTGTCTCACTCTCAGCTGTTCTCATCAGCAGTCCAGTCAATAAGGGCACATGCTTTATTTAAACAATCACCAGATCATGGGCAGATTTAGGAGGATTGATCCTCGGGCTGATTCGCTCGGGTGAAAGGGTCTTTATCCTAGAGAACTCGGTCTTATCGAAGACTTGTATTGATTACGGAAGAGTTAATAACCTCTGAATTGATTGGGCTGCTTTTCCGTATTCTGTCTGGAAGCAGATGTATTACATTATGACATTGTGTCAACGCAGTAAATCTTAGCAATAAGGGAAAAGAATGACATGGAACCTTTGGTGTATACAAAACACACACACACACAGTAGTTTGGGTTTTCATTTATTTGTCTTTCCCTCTTTTAGATAAGGAGAGCCTGATTACGGAAAGTGGCAAGCTCCACACCTTGGATATCTTGTTGAGTCGGCTAAAGGCCCAAGGACACAGAGTCCTCATCTACTCCCAAATGACCCGCATGATTGACCTGCTGGAGGTATAAACACACACACTCTCTCTCCTCATCATGCCTCACACTCACACCACCCACACAACCAACACACACACACAAACACACTGGACAGTGACTGCAATTTGTTCTCTAATATCTTGTTACACTAAAATGAATTATTAATTTAAGAATTATTTAGTTTTAATTGTGACATAATTATAGATTTTAGAACCCTTAAATAAGTATGAACACATTCACATAAACATGTTTTTAAAAAAAGGGATAGTGTTGTTCTCTGACAACACACCTTTAATGTGTCATTTGCATATATATCCAAGACTGTTGTTTAACTGGTCTTCTTCTGGAAAAGGTATTGAGCTCCAGTACCTCTAATCAGCCTGCCTGTCCCTCGTTAGTGCACTCATTAGATGGCTAATTAACAGGTCAGGGCTAATTAGCGGGGTCTCATCTGCAGGGGAGGCAGCCAGATGGGAGGGATGACTGGAAGGAGTGAGGAAAGAGGAGAGGGGGAGATGGGAGTGGTAAGGGCCTTTGGGTTAGAAGAGAAAGAAATTCTGCAGAAAATTGATGAGACAAAGGTAGTTGAGGAGGCAGAGGAAGAAAAAAGATGGGAACACATAAGTTAAGATAACAGAAAGCCAGAAATGATAAATGCCATGGTGATTTTTTTGTGACTCTTATTTCTTTTATCTATATAGGATACATGCTGTAAGCTGCTTGTTTGGGCAGAGAGCCAGTGCAAATACCTCATCATATTGTTTAGGTAATTTAGGAACAAGGACAGTTAGTGAAGTCTCCCTGAGAAAAAAAACACTACACCCAGAGACACTTTCTCTCTTTTTAAGCTGCTTGGATAGCTCAAATCTGTTTGGAGGTCAGGTGCATTCAAGGTTGAAATTCACACAATTTGTCAAATCTGCGTCACAGCTCTCCATAGGAAAACAGCAGAATAGAACAATTCTGCCAGCGGTCATTTGTAGACGGCCTTGATGCAATACTCTATTGTTGCCTCCATATTTGTTGCAAACATCGCTATGGAGCCAAAAGCCTCACGCATTATGTCACTGGGAATTCCTTCCCCATTCACACGGTGCAGTGCTGTTTATGCAGCCAAATCTTTTGATGGCAGATGGACCCAGCCCAGGTGGTTAAGGGCTGTCTTCCTGCGTGTCTGGAAAACAGCGGGAATGCCTTGTGTTTAAGGCCGCAGGAAAAACAGCAGTGGTGAGAATGCTCAAGATGGCCCAGATAACGCAGGCCAGGTCATTCTGCGTTAATGTTCTTCTCACCGACTGTCCCACCTGTAGCTGTTCCTCCAAGCTATGATTTTTATTCAGGCAGTACAGTGTGTTTTTTACAGTTTAAGTGACCTCATACAGTAATGGGAGGCTGTGACAGCATCTCCTCTACTAATGGGTTAAAGAGATCAACGAATGAAATCATATATCCACCCAATCTGGCCCCGGTTTTCCTTGACCATATTATCTTTCTCATTGGTTGGGGATAAAAGTTCTGCAGATGGAGTTGATTTCCTGAACATGAGACTGTGACTAAGAGAAAGAGGCTGATGCTAATCTCTGTCATTAGAGTCATTGTTTTCGTCGCCGGTCGGCTGCCGGCTCTTCTGGTGACATCACGTTGTTGGGTGATGGATCGTTAAGATCCGGGTGGCCTGAAGAAAAAATAATATTGTTGGCTTTCTCTGGCTGCAGCCGATTGTGGAGCGGGACCGCCAAGTCACTGCCCTCCTGCTCTAAGCTAAGATGTGTGTCTGTGGCTGCTTAGACTGCACTTTACTGTACTGCAAGTCTGCAGCTTAGATTTCAGTGCTGGCAGGAATGCCCACACTGACTCTTTAGTATTGCAGCCAGAAAATCAGCAGTGGATTTTTATGAAAGCAAAAAGATTACAGATATACAACTCTGACTTAATTTGCCAATCAGTTCCTCTTTTTCATTATTAACCAACAAAAACTGGGATACACTGACCCATTACGCAGAACAAAGCATGTATTACATTTAGCTTATTTCATTATACAATTATGATACATTCTGACCATTTATTACTATACTTACTTTATTTCTGCTACACTGTGATTGTAAATGCAATAGAAGTGTAAACTTGTGACAGACAAATGAATAGCCTTATTGTAGGGTAGTGGAGTTTTATTTATTGTGGTTAACGCTGAGGGTGTAATAGATGTATGGATAGTGTTGCAGCTTTTTCCAGGCCATTGTGGTCCACAACTTGGACTAATTGGTAAAGTTATTCAGTTACTTAAAAGAAGTAAGTTTTTTTACTTGCCCAACACTGCTGTTAACTGATATGATATTACTTTAAAGAGTACTCCACCACATTGCACTTATGGTGTTATGGCGGACAACAACCAAAACTGATCCAACACAACCAGAGATATTGTATTTTTGTATAGCACACACTTATTCCTTTTCAAAATTTGGAATCTACATTACCCACAATGCAACTCCACCACAGACAATTCAATCAGTTGAGTGTGTTATGCTAGTCGCGGCTAATGTAGCCACAAGCCTCTGGCCTCAAGTGGAGGTGAGGAGTGGGCTACAAAGCTCTGCTAAGGTCCCTTTTTTCTACCTCCACATTTTCAAACTTGTGGTCTTCAGCCCAACCAATGCTGACTCAAATGACATGACACTTGAGGCAGTATCAGACTTTGCAGGAGCCAACCGAAGACCTTATGTAACTTTATTCACATATGCAGTAGTACTCCCCAAGACCTGTAAACAGACTAATGTGTATTTCAGTGGTGTTCTCCTTTAAGCTAATTGTAGCACTCAACAAGTTTTGATGACTTTTCCAGTCTCAGGCTTGTAAAACATGTATTTGTATTTGTTTGTATTATGGCACTGAAAGCAGTTATGACGTACTTGTGTGGATTGCAACACAGCCCTAATGAAGACGTCTGTAACAATGTTGGCAATCTATTCTGTTTGCTGGCTAAACTTTATTTTTAGTGCCGCTACATCATGTTCTTTTCAGTATTATTTTTGCAGTTGTTGTGTCTGTCGGGAACAAACTGTGACCATGCACAGTGTTCCCATTTTAGGAACTGCAATACATGCTCACTGCAACCATGTGCTTTGTTTCTTGACTTTGGGAATTTATTGTTTGGGAAGTTAAAAACAACCTGGCTGCCACTCCTTACTCTTTCTAAAAGGTGGCTTTCATGCACATGTGAGATATATTAGACAGGAAAGAGGAAATTTCATCATGCTTTTAAACAAATGTCTCTTCTCCACTGCCTATTTCCTCCCATACATCATTTTAAGTTTGCACGTCAGATATCACAAGCATGAAGATTTGTTTTTACTAAATACGATCCATAATGAGCTGCTAACAGTTTGTTGAACAAGATTAACATTTTGTTCAGTCAGGTTGACCTAAACCTACACTTTAATTTATAACATTTGCAGTGGAACACATTACATATGTGGAAAACTTCAGAAATGTAGAGGTGTCGCTTATGATTAACACCAACTCCCAACAATACAAGAGAAAATTGCCAGCTGTTGAGGTATTGATTCCTCAACAGCACTTTTGGAGAAAGTCCACAGCCAGACTCAAAAAGCTTGAAAACATGGCAGCTGAAGGTTGCAGAGATTGTAACAGATGATGTCTAAGTCTAAGTGATCTCAGATAATCCTCGTCTGACTCTTTTTTTCTGATGATTTAGACATAAATGAATCTTTAACATTAGTAAGGCTGAGTAAGGCTTTCTGCTGGCAAGCCATCAAAACCCAATTCAACAAGGTCAGCAGCAGTTTGGTGAGCACCAGGCTAATGGTCCCTAATGTAGTGTTCACTCAGAGCAGATGGGGCTGTTGGGAACAGAGCCAGACAGACAGAGAGGGCAGGGCAGGAGGCCCCTTAGTGTCATGATAGGGGTTTGGGGAGTCACAGAAAACATTGTGTCAAATCATTGATATCATTGGTAATGATTGTGAGAGGTGAGTTGTGATGTGTGCCAGTAATTGTGACCGGTTCATTGGTTCAGGGGCACTGACATGTTTGAGTGAGGGGGTCAGGGGTTCAGGGCAGTGCTTAAAGAGAGATCAACATGTCACCTCATCACTGCTGTTGCACTCAAGATCCCCTCCCATCAGACCTAACACCCACACAGGAACACACACACTTATACAGAACAGCTTAGCGGACATTTGGGGGGTATAGAATATCAAATTCTGCATTTCTCAATGTCTCTCTGGGCTAGGATTGAGGTTTCAGCTCCAGCAAATGCGCATAAGAAATGTGGGATTTTGATATTTTGGACACAAAGTTGCTGTCAGGCAGAAATTCTAACATTAAAGATTGGTATTTCTTGACCCTTGGAACTTAACAAGTAGAGCTGCAGGGCGTATTTGCTTCCTCAGAGAAGGACTGAATAGTACTGCATATTTGAGAACTTATTAAATTCAGGATAAAAGTTTGAGTTCCAGTTTCTTAAAGTTTGAATGACAAGAGTCTGGAAGTTGGTTGGTTTCAAAATCAGTAGCGAAGGTGGTCCAGGAAGGATTAGATGCACAAATCCATGAATTCCATACAAACCTGGATCCAGTTCTTTAACTGCAATTCTTTTGATATTTAGCAAATATTCACACTTATGTCTTCATAATCATGAGCAAACATTTTGTAATATTTGATGATATACATAATTATCTCATCGATTTTCTTCATTTTGTCTCATCTCCAGGAGTACATGGTTTACCGTAAGCACACCTACATGCGGCTCGATGGGTCCTCCAAGATTTCTGAGCGTAGAGACATGGTGGCTGACTTCCAGAGCCGGTGGGTAAAGTTCAATGTGATCTTAAGAGTGCGTATACGTGTGTGTGTGAGAATGTGCAGGAAACCAAACACCCCTTTTTTGCCAGTAACTAACCGTAAATGGGACTTTTTGTATATTGCATGAGTGACTACGTCCAAGTACAGTATGTGTGTGTGCGTATATTTCCTCCGCATGCTCTGGTTTACATTAGTGTGCAGCTCTGAGGTGCCGGTGTTACTCTGGTTCTCGTTGTAGGTGAGAGAGTTCGTGGTTTACTGAAAGAGCTTGATTTTACGGCACTCTACCGTTGGTATCAAGTACATATTTCATTTCACATGCCTTTCCCTCTCTTAGTTTTAATAAGGTATAGCGAACGTGTCATTGTGAATTATACCCTCTTTCGCTGCCAGGCTTTAAGTTTGTGTTGACATTTTTGAGAATGGTTCTTAACTTACACTGTAACTTAATTTTGTGCCAGTTGTAAATGATATCTTTCGATTTTGTGTGCGTCTCTCCCTCTGTCCCCCTCCTCCTCTCCTCTCCCACTGCCCCCTGCAGGACGGATATCTTTGTCTTTCTGCTGAGTACCAGGGCTGGAGGTCTCGGCATTAACCTGACTGCTGCTGACACTGTGAGTCACAGACACACTGAGGGAAAAAGACTGCACTGATACAATATCAAAGCTTCAACAGCACTAGTATTTCCTAAATACATCAAAACTGGTGCCAGTGTTTCAGCATTCATAATGTTGACATACTGAAAATATAGTATGGATGTGTCTGTATATATTGATGGGGGGAGAACATGCATATATAAATGATGATCTCTCTCTCTCTCTCTCCGTTTATCAACATCTCTCAGCATAATCTGCCTTTGTGTCACTACATCCCTGTTCAAGCAGGATTAGCTTTTCATGACAATGAGTTTGAAGTGACTGTTAACACAGGACATCTGTCATGTTAAATGGCAGTTCACTTTGGATAACACATCCCTGTAATTAGTTTCAGAATTGACAGAGAAGGGAGTGTTTGCATCATGTTTGTGCTTTCATCAGGCAAATTGAAACATGCAGTAAATGATAACAATACAGCAGGATTAAAAACTTGACTATAGGTGACCTTGTTGTTGCTTACGTTTGTTGTAGAAAGTTAAGACCTTTTTTTGGTTCCTTCCAGGTCATCTTCTATGACAGTGACTGGAACCCCACAGTAGACCAGCAGGCCATGGACAGAGCTCACAGGTTGGGTCAGACCAAGCAGGTCACTGTCTATCGCCTCATTTGTCAGGGTACCATCGAGGAGAGGATCCTGCAGCGTGCCAAGGAGAAAAGCGAGGTCTTAAACACTAGCACTCATTCATACAATACACCAAATATGAGATTTGAGAGCTTTAAAAAGCCTCAGTTCCAGTAAACCTGTTTCAACATTGTTAGCCATGCTGCAAATGCATTAATTAATTACAGAGTCAATTAATGCTTTATGGTTCTTGTGTAATAAGATCCAAAGGGTGGTGATCTCTGGAGGCAACTTCAAACCGGACACACTCAAACCCAAAGAGGTGGTCAGCCTGCTTTTGGATGATGATGAGCTGGAGAAGAAACGTGAGTGTTTTGAGGCAACACGTCTTCATCTTGACTCTATTCTGTTTTTTTTTTTTACCATAAATATAAGGAGGAAATTTTAAAAAAAAATGCATTTTGTCTTCTCCTGTAGTGCGTCAGAGACAGGAGGAGAAGAGGCAACTGGAGGAGAGCAGCAAGGTGAAAGAGCGCAAGAGAAAAAGGGAGAAGTATGCCGAGAAGGTACAGTACATCTCAGTCTTCTAAAAGAAGACAGGAAGGGACAAATGTGATATGTTAAACACCTTGCCAGTGTTCATTTTGTCTCATGGAGAAGAAAGGGTCATTAAAACCAAAAAGGTTCATCCTCATCAAATTTCATGATGATCTCCATGTTAGATTATCAATTATCTTGTGTGAAAAGTTGATATTTTGGCCTGAGGGTGGCAAGTGGAAGTGGAAAGCTAAGTGACTGTCCAAAATTGAGAGGGTTCATCCTCTGTGGAGTGTGATTTTTCTCAGAAAACT